CCACTGATCGTTGTCAACATTAACCGATCGTTGTTGCCTTTTTGTGCGGCAATAGAGGGAGCAATAGGGGACATAGGAAAGGATGAATGAGCGGAGAAAAGGAATGTGATCAATGAAAAGATGAGAAAATATAAAAACAAAAGAGTCAGTACTTCGAGAAAAATATTTTTTTTTTTTTTGGTCATCAAAATACATAAACATAAATAAAGGTAGTCAATTTGTCAAAAAAAAAAGTTTACTCATAAAATTATACCTATACATTATTATGTAATTTGCTCCTTTTGTTAAACAACAACAACAAAGAAAAAGAAGACCAAAGAAAGTTTACAAAATATCATCTCAAAAAAAGTGTTGAAAAGAATAGAAAAATGGATAAATCACAGTACAGATTGTTGTTCTATATTACCAGCAAAATTATGCTCTTCTGCTGACAGCTTAAAAACAGCGAATATTGCCAAAGACGAAGAATAGGAAATGACAATTACAATAAATAAATAAATAAATAAATAAAACAAAGAAAAAACAGAAACTAGTTCAAAAAAAAAGAAGCTAACTTTTTATTTTTTTATTCTAAATGGGATATGAACCAAACGATGTATTAAATGCATATGATGCTAATGCTGGACTTAAGGCATATGGACTAACTGAAGGCATTATTGGACTAAAATTCCATACTGAATAGGGCCAAGTTGGACGTGGAATGGTGTATGGATTAAAGGGTGGAAAAACTGGCGAAGATGGTAGTGCAAGTTGGGTGCTAAACTTTTTTGCATTAATTGACTGCTGTTGCTGCTGTTGTTGTTGTTGTTGGTGGTGGTGGTGTTGTTGTTCAACGGCTTCAGATTTCAATTTTTTAACACCATTTGTCGGTGACGGTAATAAGCCTAAATAAGTGAAAAAAATTTTTTGCATTTATCAAACTTCTGCAGTAGTAGTTTGATTTTCCAAATAAAATGCTTTGCTTACCGGGACTTTCTGAACAACGTTTACGTTCATTGCCTTCACGGAAACCTTTTGCAAATGGATTGTATTTAATTTTCAACTTAATTGTCTTCTGATTCTGATATGCGGTAACAGCAATAAAATCCATTATCGGATTACTGTATGATGTGACAAGCGCCATATCGCTGTGCGGAAATGAAAAACCAGCAAACGGTGAAGGTTGTTTGATACGGTAGATTACTATTCTTGGCCGATATTTATGCATGGAATATAGTTGTACCTAAAATAGAGATACTCTACACGGAAATTGTTAGATTAATTTTTGCTTTTTTTTTTTTTTTGATTATCACTTGTTAATTTCTTCATCTTTGATCTCTTCTTTTTGCTGGTACATTGCCCTTTCTGATATATATATATATCTAAAATACCTAAAAGTACCTAAAATAGAGATACTCTACACGGAAATTGTTAGAT